AGCTTTTAAGACCTAACAAAGCGTGTAAGAAATGAAGGAAAATCAAAGCGATGTTTCGATATTAAAATGATAACCAAAGAGAGAAATAACATAGTTACGTTCATTCGTCGCGATTTGAATTGTTACGGTGTAATAATATGTACTTTGTGACAGAATAGGAACTCTGTTGAGTTAAAAAAAAACATGAGAAATACGTTCATATTACAACAGTACTTGGTAAATTGTTGATACGTTGAATGGAAAGAAGTTAAACTGTATGTATATTTATGTACCAAATTGTTGTAATAAAGTACTGCAATTCAATAAATGATCTAGAAATAACTTGAAACTCTTTTTTAATTTCAACATACACACTTTCATCATTATCTTTTCATCATGTAGAAACACAAGAAAATAATCTTAATCTTAAAATAAAATAATCTTTTATATATATTACGTTGTCGATTAAAAATCAAAGATTTGTCTAAAAGTAGTTTGTATATGGATCATACACCGGGGAGGGAGTGATCTGAACAGTAGACAACCGTGGATCTTATGTTTTTTTTATTTTCTTTTCTCATAATATTCGTGTTACCATTACAATAGGAGGAATTAAGTCTGGAATATGGCAATTAGACGTAATTCGCAATGCACAAAAAACGGTATTGATTAACGAGTTTCGTTTTTACTCTTTATAATATGCGCGCTTCTCAAAGAATTCTCTTTACAATAAACGCTTGAAAAATGCATCTTTGTTCGCGCGTACAAAAACACCATAGAAATCTTAAACTTACGTAAAATCTCAATAGCCTCTGCACACTTTGTAAATAACTTCTTTCGCACATAGAGAGAGAAGAAATGCAAAATTAAAGGGTGACGTCCTCTACCATTCTCACGAATCGATATTTCCAAGGCCTAAAGACATCTCAGTTGCACGTTTTTTTTCTCTTTTTTTTCTTTTTTTTTCTTTTGGTCGAAATTTGTTCCATTCGGGTGCGTACTTTATATCCTGAACTGTAAAGCGTGTTTGCATTTTCACAGCGATTTCTTTTTTTCAACAAATCGATATTTCTTGCGAAACAATTGTTTACTAAACATGTAACATTAATCGACTGAATGTTGTCTAATATTCAATTAGATAGTATTTAAGAAGTTTGTAAATAATTTTGCATTTATCGCTAAGATTTGATCTGCGAAATCACACACACTATACAGCCTGTTGTACGAACAAAATTGCAACTTCCAAGTAGTGTAACTTCTTGTGTAAAAGAGTCTTACTTAAACGAATTTAAATAAATTTAAAGCCAAATTAAAAAAGTTCGTCTGTATCCGGTTCTTTTTATTTAAAATTGATATTATTATTATCTGTATCGTGCAAAGAGAACGTGCACGTGCCCGAGGAGACATTATCTCGTTCGAAAATGGCACTTTTCAACAATCGATCATAAGCCAGTTGTGGAAAATTAGCCCTCGCAAAAATCGAAACATCATCCTTCTTCGATAATCTTGATGTTTGATTTGCTGTTTCCCTCTTATCATCTAATCTCTTTAATGATTCTTAAATTAATTAAAAAGTTTCATAGGCCAGAACAACGCACCGATTAGAGAAGTTTTTTACGTCCTATATTCGTACTATATTTCCACTATATATATATATGTATCAACGCTTTTGAAAATAATTCTCGCTCTCTCTTTCTCTCTCTCTCTCTCTCTCTCTCGCATACTTTCTCTCGTTCTTTCTCTTTCTATCTTTCAGGCAATTACCGTATCAAATGATGCGAAAAATTAAATGCGGTTGTACTTATTGGAAAAAGTCTCGTTCTCAACCTGATCTCGCCTAGATTCCAGCTCAATACAATGATACAAATTGACAAATGATTAGAATCAAAGTTTCGTCAACGATCGTCTAGACTACGCATATTTAGAATTTGCTCGATATATCCAAGTCTTTCTTCTATTTATGTGAATTTATGTATTTATCTCATAAATGTTTTCCTCGACAGATCAAGACAGATTTGCTTAGACTTTCTTATCAGGCCGATTCTAATTCGAACAATCGAAAATATTTTCAAGAAGAATATCTGTAAGATAGGTCTTCCCTTTCGTTATACGATCATCTCGACTTGTGCGAAGACTTCCCCTTCTATGAAGTTTTGATAAATTCTGGAAAATACCGCATTGATCCCGTTCGCGCGTTTTCGTAACAGTCTCGAAGACGAAAGTTTTCTTTCTTTTACCTGTCTCGCGTCGACCGTGCTCACAGTGTCTCTCCCTATATTAATTTTTTTTTTTTTTTT